ATTTTTCTACTGGTGCTGGGGGGGAGAGAGGAGGGGATTACCAGAACTAGCAGCAGCAGTAGCAGGAGCAGGAGGAGCAGGAGCAGGAGCGGCACGAATAGGAGGGGGGGATAGTGTGAGTGCCACACCCTTGTCGCTGGGACCTTTGTTGCTGCCAGATGGGACCGGCAGGGATGTGGCTGCTACAACTACCTCTGCTACAGCCGCCGCATCCCTCCGTCTGCTGGACCTGCTACAGCCGCCACTGCTACAGCCGAGGAATTTTCGGGTAGCCTGATGAAAAGAACGGGTGGGTAGTTAAGTCGAGAAGAGACGCGGTGGGAGAGGAGGGATGGTTTGAGGGGACAGCAGGAAGAGGGGGAGGTGGGGGGGGCGAGAGGAGGTGTTGGCTTCGAGAAGGAGGTGGAGGAGGGAGAGCAGGGGTCGGTTGTTAGACACTCCTTGAGTTCAGGCCCCTTTCATCGTCCTGGTTCAGCCGCAGATCCAATACCATCTCTAATCAACCACTCTGGTGGGGAGGAGGGGAGGTGAAGAGAAGAGGGGAGGGGAGGAGGGGAGGCGGGAGAGGAGGGAGAGCAACGGGTAATTAACAGACACTCCCTGTGCGAGCACCCTCCCATCGTCCTGGTTCAGCCGCCGATCCAATGCCATCTCTAATCAACCACTCTGGTGGGGAAGGAGGGGAGGTGAAGAGAAGAGGGGAGGGGAGGAGGGGAGGCGGGAGAGGAGGGAGAGCAACGGGTAATTAACAGACACTCCCTGTGCGAGCACCCTCCCATCGTCCTGGTTCAGCCGCTGATCCAATACCATCTCTTCCAGGATTGGGAAGTAGAAGAGGGAGGAGGAGAGAAGGATAGGGGGACGGAGGGGGAGGAGGGCACGGTGAGGAGAGGCTGTTAAGCACATAGCGAGACCAGTTCTTTTAGAATCTTTTAAAAACAAATGGTGAGGAGAAGCTGTTATGCACATAGCCAGGCCAAGGATTAAATGACATTAAGAAGGCGGGCAAGGGAGGTCTCATCTTGAGACTGGCGAACTCCATGGCTTGGCGAGTGTGAACAGAGAAGCGCATGCCCAAGGGGTCTTGCAGGAAGGCCAGGGCGGGCATGGGGTAGAAGTGGGCGTGGGGTGGCAGGCAGAGGGGTGTGAGGGGAGAGGGGAGCCCTGTGGTGAAAGCAAGTGTTGGGAAGAAGAGCTCACCTTGAGACTGGCAGCGCCCATGACTTGGCGAGTGTGAACAGAGAAGCGCAGGCCCGAGGGGTGTTGCAGGAAGGCCAGGGCGGGCATGGGGTAGAAGTGGAACTGCAGGGGAATGCGGGCGAACGTTTTCCTCCTCACCATCTGAAAACCGTTCAGGTCCGTGTGAAAGATGTTGCAGACCTGAAGGGAAAGGCATGGGGTATATGAGACAGGCATGGGGCATGGGCCATGGGGCATGAGTAGGAGAGGGCGGGAATGGGGTATATTTGACAGGCATGGGGCATGGGACATGGGGCATTAAGCATGGCGCATGAGAAGGAGAGGGCGGGCATGGGGTAGAAGTTGGCTTGCAGGGGAATGCGGGCGAGTGTTTCCCTCGTCACCGTCTGAAAACCGTTCAGGTCCGTGTGAAAGATGTATGTCGTCCTGAAAGATGTTTGCAGACCTGGGGTGGTGGTGGTGAGGGGATGCGGATATTATGAGAGTGAGGAGGTGGGTGGATGAGATGGCGAGGGCGGGCATGGGGTCGAAGTTGCCCTGCAGGGAGATGCGGGAGAGGGTTTCCCTCGGCCAAGGGAGATGCGGGATAGGGTTTGGAAGCCGTTTAGGTTTGTGTGGAAGATGCTTCTAGACCTGCAGGGGTGGTGGGGGAAGGGGGGGGTTGCAGATAAGAGAGGGGGAGGGACGGCTTGGCAGGTGAGAGTTGACTGGTTTTGGGGCTTGACAACACGGGAGGCCATGTGAGGACGACGGCAGGCATGACGGCAGGCTTGGGGCCAGGCGTGGGGGCAGGCATGAGGGCAGGCATGGGGCAGGCGTGGGGGCAGGCATGGGGGCAGGCATGGGGCAGGCGTAGGGGCAGGCATACTGGCAGGCATGGGGGCAGGCATGAGGGCAGGCATACTGGCAGGCATGGGGGCAGGCATGCTGGACGTGCTACAGCCGCTCCTGTGGGTGGCGGTGTCACCGGCTGTAGCAGAGGAGTTACTGTTCAGAGGGCTGCTGTTCACGACCCTACAAGAGAGGCTCGGCAGGTGAGAGGTTGGCAGGAGGCTCGGTAATGAGGTTGGCAAGGGCTTACTGCTACCACCTTGTTTCTGGTTTGAGAACTTCCTCCATTTTCATGGCCCACACTCTCTAATCAATCCGATGTCACTCGTTCTTTCTTATCCCCACACGCTTGATATCGTCTTTCTTGTATTCCCCTCCTTTCCTCCCTGCATTATCCCCTTTCCTGCCTCTCTCCCCTTCCCTGCCTCTCTCCCCTTTTCTCCCTGTTTCCCCCCAGGATCGACGCTGCCATGCTGTCTGCAGCCCTCTTCGCCCTCTTCCACCTCTCCCTCGCCCTCCTCTTCCCCAACATGGCCCTTGGGATTGCCGCCAGCCTGCTCGCTGTCTACTCCAAAAACGTCTTGCCAGCTGTCGCTCTGCATACCACTTACAACGCTTCTGCTCTAATCTACGCACTCATGGCTGCGACGATTGCTTCTGTCTAGCAGGCAAAGAGCTGGTTAGTACAAAGACCTGGTTCCTTCGCAGGTGTGTAACATTCTGAAAACAGGAAAAAAATCTGGCTGGACAATGCCCAACTGCCGCACTAGCGGGACCACTCTGGTTCGTGCCTCCAAGTTGGTATGGACCATGGTGTCTGGATGTTCCATGTCACTTCTCCAAGATAGCGACGTTGACTGTGTAAATGGAACAGTGTGAACACGCGTTTGACGAGCCCACAAATATCCTGATGGGTGCACAATCCATACCATGTGTTTTTAAGATGAGTGGGATGAAAGAACTCACATACCATACTCATAAAGGTGATGAGATACAAAAATTCAACTTACCTTATACCGAAACGCTGCTTTTCCCGAGGTGAAACTCCCGCCACCCAGCGGCAGGGAGCTTGGAGCTCCATTGCCTAGCATCAGCTTTGAATCTTTCGCTGGGAAGACCTCGCCCGAATCCCTCCGGGAAAACCCGTTCGCCCCTGCGGGTTTTCCTCGGAGGGATTTTCGTTTTCCCGCCGTCGCCTAGCGAAGCACGCGAGGGGCGGGAGCCACCCCCCCCCTCCCACCCGAAAACGGGCACCCCCAGCTGGCGCCAGCTGCCGATGACGCCAGCAGCCCGTGCCCTCGAGCTGGCAGTGGTCCCCCTCCCAAACCGAGCCCAACCCCCCAACCGAGCCCAACCCCCCGCTCAGTTCGTCGACGGGTTCCGTCAGGTAACCCACCCGTCCCTCGCCGAGCGACGCCTTGCCGACGGAACCAGTCCGCGAAATTTCGCCGGCCAGACAAAAGCGACGCCCATCTGCGCCGCGCTCCACCGCTCTCGCCCTAGACGGGCCCGTTTCGTTCAAGCCGCTCGATCTTGGCGACGTGTCGAAGGCCCCCTCCCGAACCTTGGAAGGGGCCTTTCAGCTGCATGCAACTAAGCCCACCCCAACGACCAGGTTTCACGTCGAGGCCAATGGGGCCCCGCCGGCCTCCCTCCTCCTCCCACGTCTCGGAACGCGCCCTGCCTCCTCGCCCTTGAACCCCCCTGGTCCGTCGCGGTGGGAGGGATGGCAAACAGCTAATACCCTGCGTCCGGTCTCATTTTGTTGCTGTTTCCGATTTTTGCTTCCCTACTTCCTAGTCCCTGCTAGTTCCCAACTCCCCTGCGCGTCCGCCCTCTCCACTGCTAGAACAGACATGGCTACGGGCCCCGCCTCCGTACCCGTCATGAACGAGGCCACGGTTCGACGCGGCCTCATCCTTAGTGCAGGCGGGGTCGAGGTGGAGGTGTTTGAGGACCAGCTGAATGCGATTAGAGAGGCGCCGAAAGGGGAGCTCGACGAGAGCATGATGGTCGCGGGCGTCGTGTACGTGTCCTGTCGAACATTTTCGGTTTGCCATGTTTGGGTTTACCAATCGCTGACGTTGACTTAGCTTTCCATGCAGCCTGTTCTGTCATGAACTGCTCTCCGTCGAGCAGCTCCCCAAGGTGTCGATCGTGACTCCGGCGCGTGCGCGTGAAGAGATGGCCCGTCCCACCCCGGTCGCTTTTGCGAACAACCACCTCGACGGCCTCCTCGGCAAGCAAGTGGTTTTCGTTCTGCTGCGGACACCGTGAGTTCGACACTCTCCCGTCGCCTTGCGTGCTCCGTCTTTAGCCCTGAACCCGTTCTCACGTGCATTGGCTGTGCATGCAGACTGAGTGTGCCTCCGTTCTCCCACTCGAGCCTGTTTGTGGTATCGCGCCCCGATGATCTGCTGGCTCCGAGGCACCGTGGCAGTCGAACTCGAATGATGCACTTCGATTCGAAAGACAAGTTTCCCGATATGAACCACCAATCTTCTCTGGCGCAAGAAGTTTTCGTGTGAGTGACAGCTTTGCAACCCTGCTGTCGAGCTGCTGTTCTCGACAATCTTACTCTTCTGTCCTCTGCGTCGCAGGTGGATGAAGAGGCAGCTTCGCGCCGAGTACGCGATGACCCACCAGGCTCTGACCGAGGACGACCAAGAAGTGTTGAAGGTGATGGACCTTCGTCTGGAGTTGAACGAGGATTTCGACCATCTGGTAAGCTCTCCTTAGACCAACAGCGTTTTCGCCGAGCAAGTGTTTTGTCGCTTACGTATGTTTTGTACCCGTCGCAGACGACGACGGCCTTGTCGAGCCCCTATCAAAACGGCGCGGCAGCTCGTGTCGTGCATGGGGTGCGCCGAATTCTGTCGAAATGGGACGACTTCATCCTACAGCCTCGAAAGGGCGAACTCGTACATCTAGGGAGAACGAACCCTGGCCCGGGTGTGCTTCCGTTGTTCATGGTCAAGCTGATTTCGAGAAAGATCGACCAGCTGGCGGAGGGAGCAAGTGTGGGAGGGGGTGCCGACCACGAGGGAGGAGGCAAGAAGACGGGACGCGTCGTGATTGAGTACAGCGTCGAGGAGGAGGAGGAGGAGATCGAGGAGGATACATCGAGGCAGGCTCAGCACGGGGCGAGCGGCCCGGGCGGCGATGCGAACCAGGACGAGGACTCGAGCTCGGAATCGAGCCCCGGCTCGAGCTCGAGCGATGAGTCGGTCGAGGACGACGGCGAGGGCGCCGGACATCGAACGGAGCGTACGGGGGAGCACGGAGTGGCGCTCGGGGAGCGGGTGGACGAGCGAGTAGAGCTTATCGAGCAGCAGGCGACAGGGGAAACAAAGACTGTCGAGGAGCAGGAGGGCGGAGCCGCTGCGCAGGAGGGTGGGGTCGGAGGGCAGCAGCAGGTGGTGGGCGAGGTGGCTGCGCAGGAGGGCGGGGCAGGAGGGCAGCAGCAGGAGGGCGTGGCGGCTACGCAGGTGGGTGGGGCAGGAGTGCAGCAGCAAGAGTTTAGGGTTGCGGCTGCGCGGGTGAGTGGGTCGGGAGGGCAGGAGCAGGAGGTCGGGGAGGCTGTTGAGGAGTATCGTCGAGGAGATGAGCGACAAGCCGCCGTAACAAGGAGTCACCGCACGGCCAGTGGCAGCGGACAGGCGGGCCCTTCGACCGGGTGCCCTTCGACGGCAGGCCAATCGACGGCGAACGTTGCACCCGGAGGCCAGGTCGTCGAGCTACTGCAGAGGGTCGAGAAGGTCGAGGCGTCTCAGAAGCAGCTCGTCGCCGATGTATTTGCGAAACACACTGAGCAAGCCGGAGTATTCAACAGGCTTGCGGCGGATTTTCGGACGGCGTGGAATACGATTTCGGAGTCGTCGAAGAGCACACTGTCGCAGTGTGCCGAGGCTGTGAAGGGTGTCACGGCGGAGAGGAACCTGTTGGAAGGGGCGCGGGCGAAGATCGACGAGATGAGCGGGAAGATCATCGAGGGGGTGGTAGCCGCCATCACAAAAGCGAGCGAGGACGCCGTCGAGAAGCAGCTCAAGCAGGTCGAGGAGCGGCTGGTTGCTGCGGTGCTGAAGGGTTTCGAGAAAGCCATCATGGAGGACATGTTTTGCTCCACTCTCCCACCCGAGACCATGAAGGAGCTGAAGGACATTGTGAGGGAAGGATACCAAGAAGCCGAAGCAGGGAGGTTGGAAGTCCTTGTCAGGATACTAGAAATGGGTTTCAGCGCTCGGCGGGCCCGTCGACGAGGTCGCGTCAGGAGGGTGTGGGAGGGGTTCGCAGCGGGGCTGAGCCTCGAGGTCACGAGCGGTCGGTTCCTCCGTCTTCTTCGGTGGGAGGACATGTCGGCAGCCCGGTTGGATCCCCACCGGCGCGTGGCCGTCATCCCGTCGCCAAGCCCGTCCCCGAAGTCATCGTACTCGACCAGTCAGCCCTCCCGAAGACCTCCGTAGCGGCTCCGATCGATCAACCTGATGCGTTTGCTTCGATGCGGGACATGCTGCAAGACCTGGGGAAAACGGGTGGGAAAGGAGTGGTCGCGGGGGAGAAAAGTGGTGCCCCGAACGAGCACGTCGCCTCGACCGGGAACAGAGCCCTAGGAATGCGAGGTGCCTCTACCCCGTCAGGCGGCGGTGCAGGGAAAGGAGCGGGAGAAGCAAGCGCTGGGTTGCTGTCGAAGCCTAAAGCGGCATCAGCTGCGCACGACGGTGGTGCTGGCCATGCTGCCGGGCTTGTGGGAAATTGGGCGTCTTCCTCAACCCCTCCACTTGCTCCTTTTGCCGCTGCTCCGTCCCTAGGCAACGTTTGCCTTAGCGATCCGGGCTCCCCTTCAAAGTCGAAGAAGAAGCCGGCTGCGACAAAGTCGTCGAAGCACGCTGCACACGCGACAGAGAGCCTTGACGTGGTGGAGCTGTCCAGCGTCCCTGGTCAGGCGCCTGTCGAGAAGACCTCTATTGTCGTTGCTGCTCGACAGGAAAAGGCGAAGAAGGCCAGGGTCACGGGTCACACCCCACCTCCTCGACCGGACGACCAAGGCAAGACGAGAGGCTGCAAACGTCCCTTCAAAGGACCGGGTTTCGGGTTGCGGAAGGGGAAGCTGGTTTCCGAGCAGACCGTCGGCGGGAGGAAGCGGTTCCTTGGCACATTTGAAACAGAGAAGGACCAGAAGTTCTGTACGGCCGTCTGCTGGCGCGTGTACTTCCCCGACGTTGTCCTTACGGAGTACGAAGGGTACACGGCGCAGGATGAGGAGGACTGGAAGGTCTACCTTGATGCGGCCGCAGAAATGCCAACCGGCGTTTGGAGCGTGGCGCAAGAACAAGGGGAATGCCGTTTTGACGAGTAAGTCCTGTCGAAGTCATGTTGCTAGACTTTGCTGTTGAATTCCTGCTGTTTTGGTGATTTGTCGAACACTAGCTGTTTTGCGGTGAATGTGCTGTCGGTCGAATTCTGGCCTCTTGACTAACGCATTTCTTGCGATGTGCAGTTACCTGTCGCTGTTGGCGACGGCAAAAAGGGAAGCGAAAGCTGGAACCGAGAGGGGAATCGCGCTGTGCGTGGCGATTGGTAAGGTCGCGACGCTTGGCCTGAAGCACGGGAATCTGATTTACCCGGTCCCGAAGGGCATGGCGGCGACACCGCACATGATGGCCATCGCAGCAACTGTGGCGAGCTTGTGGGCGGCCTGCAGGAAGTTGTCGAGGGAGGATATTAAGAAGGACGCCCTAGCTGCCGCAAACGGGGCGATCTACGCCCCGGAGACTGCAAAGAAGGCTTGTGTGGCTGCCATGTCCGCACTCGTGTCCATACTTTTGCACGTCGGCAAGACGTTCCCGGCGAAGCAGTGGCCCGATCACCTGTATTCGTCGGCTGTCGAAGGTCTCGGCTCGACGGACGCCATATTGCTGCAGATGCTGCGCGTGGCAGCACAGGTCTGTACGCAATGGTGCTGCTGTCGAGCTGCTGCCCGCTTGCTGGAGGACGCGGGCTATGGCAGCCTGGCTATGCCAGAAGAAAAGAGCAAGGCGAAGCAGGGCGTCGAGGATGCAGCTGAGACGGAAACTAGCGGGCAAGGGGAGTAGTCTAGGCGGGCACTTTGCGTGGGGGTGTTTGCCATTCTCGACAGTTGTGTTAGTTGTTTCCAGAGTTTAATCGACAGCATGTACATGTTGCATGAATCTTGACTTTCCGTGTGCGATAATGCTCAGAAGGTTCATACAGGCAAGATGGTCGGTCAGTAATGAGAATCTGCCATGCAATCTCTGAAAGAACACCCTACTCTACTTTCCCCCCTCGTCAGGGTTGCCTGTCGAACTTGGGCTCTCGCCCAATGTTTTCATGAACTCTTTCCATTTGTCTTTGAGCACGTTCTCGGCCCATTTTGTGGTTCGAAGCTCGACGCGAATGAGCTCCCGCGTGATCCTGAGGCGATCTTTGTCCTTCCGGTTGTCTTCTGCTGTCTTGACTTTGCGCTTCTTCGTGAGCTGCTTCCCCGAATCCTCTTTGAGAACGAGCCCTTCAGCCAGCATGTTGATCGAGTGGTTCGCGACTATTGAGTCAAGCTTATCAATGATCGTCGACGTAGCCGCGCTGCTGTCGTCGACCCTGAATATCTCGACGGCCCTCATGACAACCTCCATCTTCCGCAATTTCGACTCGACAGCTTTTGGGGTCGGTGGCTTTTCTTTTGGCTGGTCCACCGCAACCTGGGGAACGGTGGGAGGAGTCGGAGTGAACTTGCTGAACTTGACGGCGAAACCCCTCCTGTAAGCGTGTCGAAGACTGTGTCCGTTGTTCAGCGGGCTTGGCCCGTCCCAGTACGACCACGCCTGCCGCACGGTCTCGCAATTGCACCACGGCCACACCACTGCGTCGAAGAATGCTTGGTCGAGCTGGCTGCCCTTGCTCTGTTGAGTGGGCGTTGATTGAGGGGGTTGCTGTGGTGGCGGGGTGGTTTCTTCGGTCGCCGTCTGCGGCACACTCTCGCTCCCCCCCACACTCGCAGCTGCGGTTGTCGCGGCGGTAATCTTCAGTGCGTCGAACGCTTTCTGCAGTAGCGCGAGTGCTTCTGCCTTCGCCTCCAACTCCGCTTGCATCGCGCCCTTCTCCCGCTCCAATGACTCGACCTTCTGCTCGAGGCCCTTGATCTTGATTTCTTTTTTCCCACCCTCCTCCTTGTGTAAGTTGACCTCTGCCCGAAGTTGCGTGATGAGGTGCTTGGTGTTGAGTTGAAAGGATGCGTCCTGCGCACAAGATCACGAGCGGTAGGTAAGTGGGCTGATGCAATCTGTTGGGATTCAAAATTAGAAGGGCCATCTTACCGAAGCTTTCGACAGCGTGGGGTTGGTCCGCATCTCGATGCCGTATTTGTCGAGCAGGTACACATCAAGCGCCCATTTTTGGAAATCCATGTCCTTGCACAAACCGGACATCTGTACATAAGGGTGACGCTCGCAGTCGCAAACTGTCACTCCGTTGAAGGGGTGGTCGTCACAATGGACGTAGTACATCGCAAGATCCTCTGCGATGGGCATTCGGACGGCTTGCAGAGCCTTCAAGAAACTTTTCGCTGCGAAGAACATATGCTCCTTGTCCTGCTCGTTGTTCCATTCCATCGCCTGAACAAGAAAAAACGTGGTGACATTGAGAGATAGATGGGAAAAACTTGCATTCGATGATCACGCTAAGCGCTCGACGCATCCATACCTCGTCGAGCCACTGCTCCGCCTCTGGAAATATGTGCTCCTCGATAGCCTTCAGGACCTTCGCGGGTACTTCGCTCTTCGATCTTCCAAGGTAATAGTCACCCGGTTCCGTCGTGAAACCCGCTTGCAGCTGGATGGCCCCGCGCGGGATGCCTGTGACGTATGACCTGCGCATCTCGTTCATGTCCCATTGACCCAGCTGCGCGATGTTGTCGAGTTCACAGTTTTTGTCGGCGAGGATCTGTGCCGCAGACCGTCGAAAGATATGTGTGACTTTCGACAGGATCCACTCCGCGCTTTTCATCGCCCAGGTAACCCATTTGGCATGAGTCGCGTACGGCAACTCGGTCTTGTCTTTGTCGAAGAGGGCGAAGAACAGGTGCTTCTTTGACCAATTTTCCGGGTTGCTGAAATCCAAGGGGGGCACGATCTTATCGTTGTTGTAGTAGAGCGGCACAAGGTCGAAAATGAAATGTATCCACATGAACACTGCTCCGAAGCCGCACTGCCGGAAGTCCATGTGTCGAGTCAGGTACAGGTGGCCGAGCTTGTTGTCTTTGATGGTCTTCGAGTTGCGATAGGCGACCACGAGAACGTGGATAGACGATTCCCCCTTGCTGTTCGTGATGGGCGGAAGGACGTGAGTGAACATATTGCAGTAGCGGATCTCGCGGATGCTTATCCCCCTGCCCAGCATGTGATGCGCCATCAGGATCATCACCCTCACGGCCAAGGCCCTCCACAGCGACTGACTGGGGTAACTCATCGACTCCCGAAAGTACTCCTTGGCCCAGTACGGCAGGATGTCTGAAACGAGAATGCGGAACTGCTCCTCCGTGTAAACATCGTCGAGCGAGCCCCGGTGTGGATCGACGCACTGCCTGCATTGAGTGGGCAGATACAGCGAGTAGTTGGGTGAGAATTTGAGTGAAAAGTTTTAGAGTCCGGTGTATGGCAGCCTACTTACTCGAACTGAAAGTCGTGCAGCTGCCGCAGCTTGACCGCAAGAAGCTGCCGGGCCTCGGTGATGTCGTCCAAGGGTTTCGTTAGTGGCTCGTCGAAGAGTATGGCCTCTACTCTGCAGAAGCACGTCAGCGCAGTAAGGCGCGCCAGCATCATCGGAGGGGTGCTTTTTTTCGCCTTCCTTCCAGCGACTCTGGTCCGGCCTGTGTCCAACGAAGCCGCTTGTTGGTCGGTTTCAGTCGACATGTATTCGACGTACGCGCGCAAGCGCCACTTCGTTATTTTCGGCCCATGCAGGTGCTCCTCGTTACGCAGCGCCTCCCTCCATCTCGGCCCCATATCGTCGCCGATCTCCCTACCGATCTCGTCCTCGTAGATCACCTGCTCCTCTTTAGGCACTCCGTTGCTTCCCTCGGGTGCCAGAATTTTACAGGCCCAAGCTTTGTAGTGCATGCTTCCAGAGACATAGTTCGGCCGTGTGGAATCCTGGTCAACTCCCAGCAGCGGAACCTCACACCGGAGAATCCTGCTTTTAAGTGTTCCGGTCGCCAAGTACGGATTGTCTGCGCCCGGTTGGTCGCCGAGAATGTGCGCGGCATCCTCCTCTGAGATATTTGCCGCAGAGGGTCTGGTGGTTCGACATCGTCCGCCTCCTGCTGTTCTCCCGTTTGAACATCGTCATCGTCCGTCGCTTCAGGGACGTTCCTGGCTAAGTCCTCTCTGCTTGGTCTCGTCGAAGTGCGCCTAGGAGCGGCGGGGCCGGCTCGAGAAGCGGATGTGCCGGCAGGGGGTGGTTGGCGAACCTCAGGCGGAACAGCCCTCGCTCTCCTACGTCGCCCACCTGTCGAGGTAGGTGCACCAGCTGAAGGTTCCGTCGAGCGGTGGGCTGTCGACGATGGTGCACGGTGAGCAGGAGCCTCGTGTGTAAAGGGGGCATTTGTTGTCGAGATGGGTTCTACGACAACAGGTATGGATTGACCTGTCGAAGGGAATTCGGTCAGTGCACCACCCACTTCAACAGTGACCGGAATACCCGTCGAACGCTGGTCCGTAACAACCGGCTGTATTACTACCGGTATGGCTCGCGACGTCGAGGTGGGCGCTGCCACCTCCGGTATGGCACGCGTCGTCGAAGGGGCCGTCGAACGCTGGTCCGTAACAATCGGATGTAATACTACCGGTATGGCTCGCGACGTCGAGGTGGGCGCTGCCACCTCCGGTATGGCACGCATCGTCGAAGGGGGCGCGGAAGAAACAGGCGTGGCTCCAGACGACGAAGGGGGTGGTGTCGAGATGGACTCCAATTCGACAGGTATCCGTCCTACGTCCGCCTGCCGGGAAGGCGCTGTCGTCGACGGATCGGTCTCCATCAGTGCCCACCGAAAGCTAGCACTTCTCCCTAAATCCTGGCCTGCTGAGGAAAGTGTGGTGCTTCTACTAAGAATTCAGGTTTATACAGTGACCTTGGGCTGATGTTGCTCCCCGTGGAGACTGAGACATTTGACGTGGCAGTCGGCAGTTGACGTGAACGTTTGACTGCGACAGACGTAACCCGTCACCCATCCGACAGCGACAGTTCGCTCGACCGACGAGACGACAGGTCGGCCGCAGTTGACGTCTCCGTCGATTGCGACAGTCGGTATTTCGCAACCGTCGACCGTCAGCGCCACCGTGTGGGCGACATGCCACCGGGTGTAAAAAGCGTTGTCGGGGGTGCACGGTGCTCGACGGCGATTGGCCAATGTCCGTCGAGCACTGTTCGACAAATGTCCCCGAAATTGCATTAGTTCGGCCGACATATATATGAGAATAAGAATACGACATTGAACCCGCGGGTTTCGGAGGGTTTTTTGGCCTGGTCTGCCGGGAATTTCTGGGGGCCCGGAGGGATTCCGCGGGTTTTTCGTTTTGCCTCAATTCCCTTAGTGCCAGGGCGGGCGGGGCGGCATGTGATGACGTCACCCGTGTGTATATAATTGGGTAGCAACCACGGTTACATTGTCTGGCGAAAACAGCTTCGGAGCGGAGCTCCTTTCGTTCGGTCAAATCTCAAGCTTAGGCGAGAAGTTCTCGCCAATCCCCAGGGCATTCGCTTAGCACCTGCTACCACTCCGTATACTTATTTGAAAGTTTGTAAACGCACAGCACCATATCAAGCTGCACCGATTGACCCTTGTGATCGTCACACTCGTTTCATTGGTAGCCCCAAGGAACCCAGGTTTCCAAAATTGAACTTCTACGCCGCCTCGCGTAGATCAGCTCGCCGATCGCTATGGCTAGTCCTACCGCATACGTCACAGCCATTCGTAGATCGGATTTTCAGATATATTGCTCGTGGGACATCGCAAACGCACCGAATAGCATCGCGACCTTCGGTTCCTTCCTTAACAAGCTTCGATCGGATTGGATCGGAT